GGTGGAGGCGGTTTGGGGCAGGCCGGTTTTTTGCCACCTTGGGCGGTGGAAGGTTGTGGGGCCCCCCCCGCACAGAACCCCCAAGCGGCTTTGGGGGGCGGGGGAATTCTGGGAGTTGAAGTCCACACATCTTCAAGCTGCCAAGGTTGAGAAACACTGGCTTTGCTGAACCAGCCTTCATCTTCCCCCATAGAACTTCAAGCTTGAAATGGGGTTTTTATTGCACCAAGGAATCACCTTGTAGTCAATGCATCTGGGGATAAAGGGAGAACTGCTGACACAAGAAGGCAAACGAGTAGTGGGGAAGGTGCTGGACTAGAAACAGGAGACCCGGGTTCGAATCCCCCTTCAGCCATGGAATCTCCCTGGGGATTCTCTGCCAATCCCCTCTCAGCCCTGCCTACCTCCCAGGGCTGTTGTGGTGAGACAAGACAGGAGGAGGGCACATCGATGACCATGAAAGTTCAGGGATAAATGAAATCAATAAAAAAGACTTTTTTTTTTCCTGCCAGAAAACGCCCAGCCAGAAATTGTCTCTCTGAAGCTCCCAGGAAAAGTGGTTGAGGGCTCAGCCCGGGCCTCTTATTGTGTTGTTGGTAAGTGATGCGACTCAGCGCAGACCGGGGCGGATAGTTGCTGAGTTTGTGATCATTCCCACCCTGAATTTTCTTCAGCTTCCCTCAGCCTTCCCAATTGTTCCTCCAATCTTTGGCTAACCATTTGCTTTTCCTCCACATTTTTATTTCGTGAGCTATCAAGGTATGAAATAACCTCGGAGAATAATCGCTTGCTGCTCTGGGTTACAATTTAAACATTTGATGATGATGATGATGATGATGATGATGATGATGATGATGATGATGTAAAAATAAAAAATGCTGCCATAGACAGCATCAAGGAACAGTGTTAGCCATCATTCATCTTTCTTGGGTCCCAAATAGACCCCCCCAAAAATCACTTTTTTGGGGGAAAGATGGGTCTATAAAAGATTTCTGAAAATGTCACATAGGTTTGTTTGAGGGTTTGTTTTTTTTTAAAGAAAAAGGAAAGAAAAAGGAAAGAAAGAGCAGAATTCATGGACATTTACATAACTGAACCCTCATAATTAACAACATCAGAGGATCATAAAATGTAAAGTGCCTTGAGAGGTCATCTATTCTAGCCCAATGGCATTCTAACTAAATGGGATATAAACTAGGGGAAACTCTCACCAACTTTCTCATATGTTAGAGAAAATTGCAAACAAAAATAATATTTTTCAATGCATTTACCCTCCCCCCCCGCCAAAATTCCCTACTTCTACGTCTGGTGGCTTTTTAATATAAGCATTAACCAAGAATTTGTTCATTTGTTCATTATTTAAAATATTGGTACGCTGGTTGTCCTTTAAGTGGCTGACAATAAAATTCAACCGTTAAAACATTTGGTGACTAAAAATGTACATTAAAAGACTGTAAATAAAAGAGAATCCATAAATAAACCGTAAAACCGTAACTGAGAAGCACCGATAATTTTTTTAAAAACGTCACAGCAGCTATGATTCTGCTTTCTGGAGGTGTTCTGGTTGTAGCATTATTTCCCAGCCCCCCTTTCTAAATCATGATGATGATGATGAAGTTTGAAGTGTATTATACCATTACAGTAGTTAGAATTCAGTATTTCTCAACCTTGGGCACTTTAAGATGGGTGGACTTCAACTCCCAGAATTCCCTAGCCAGCATGGCTGGCCGGGGAATTTTGGGAGGTGGAGGCCACCCATCTTAAAGTGCCCAAGGTTGAGAAATACTGA